GGGGGGGGGGGAATAAAAACAAGCCACAGATCCACGGATTCATTCATACTCTATGCATGCCAAACAAGACTAAAAAGAAAAGGGGGTGAGGAGTGAACACATCTAGAGACACTGCAGTAAAGCTGCTGAAAATCATAACCCCAAAAAAGACCAAAAACAACAACAAAAAACCACCTTAGGATCTGCAAGAGAAAACTCTGGGTTACTTTCAAAGGAGCAGCATGAGATATCTGACTCCACAACTAAAATAATGCCAGAGGAAAATGGAATGCCATCCTTAAAATGTTTCTTAAAACCAACCTCTTACCTAAAAGTCTATATATGCCCATCAATATGAAAGGCAAAATTAATACAGGTTCAGACAAATAAAATGTGACAGATTACCAGAAAATCCAAAGAGAAAAGAAATATTAGAATGAATTATTGAGGCAAAACAATAAAATAATCATACAGACAGAAAAATGTTTAGTGTCCCCCCAAAATCCACAGTGGAATCCACCCAAATGCTCATCAACAGAATGGCTGAATCGTGGCATAACTGCACAATGGAATACTAAATAGCAATGAAAATGAACAAGCTACACTATTTGCCATAGCTTGGATGAATCCCATATTGAGTGAAAGGCACAGACACAAAAGTATCCACTGTATTATTTTATTTATCAAAACCTAAAAAATCAGGCAAAACTAATCTGCTGTGAAAATAGTCAGTATATTGGTTATAGTGGTTATTGCTGCAGTGAGGATAGTGACTGAGAAAGGACATGAGGGGACAGACCTCTGTGCGCTGAGGCATCACTTTATTGCTTTAATGTTTACACAAGAAAACCTAACTTGGTTAAAATGAATGCATTAAGACAAATTAGTAATACTTTTGAAAAACTTAGTATGTAAATAAACTCCCTCATCTACCCCAACCCCCAAATACTATCTTGTTTTTTACAGATAAATTAAATGGGAGAAAATAAACAGTTGAAGGTGAAGAATAATTCCCAAAATATTCTTTATACTTTTTCTGGAAAAGGTATAAATTTTATTTAGAAAGAAAAAAATTAACAGAAAAACTTACTTTTACTATAATAATAAATTGAGTTTAATTTCCCTTTCTGTAGAATTAGAAAAATGTTTCAATTTTTTTTCTAATTTCTTCCTAAGTTCCTTAAAAATATTTCATTTTTATGGAATATTCTGGCCTTTCTGACTATTTTGCTGATTGTTATGTAACATCCTGTCAATTCACAATGGGAAGAAACTGAAACATTTTATATATATATATATATATGCATATATATGTATAAATATATGTGTGTATATATATGTCTTTGATATGTCTTCATCTAAAAAATAGGCATTTATGCTATTTTTCTCTAAAGGTTTTAGTTTCAGAAAATAAAGTTAAAGTGTTTCATACCTCAATAAATACTACTTTTCAAGCTAATGGGAAAATCGACTTGTGATTTGACTGAGCACTTGATTTTTGCATTCGTGTGTGATTTAAAATTATGAATTGCCAAAATAGTAGGGCAGTGTCAAGCTGTTTAGCCCTTGTTATCTTACCATTCTGGCCTCTGGTTTATTACTCCAGGTGAAAGAAAAGTCTCTCCTAGTCTATACGAAATATTTAAACAGTGGTTGAAAAACCCTGTCTAGGCTCTCATTTACTCTCCTTACTGAAGCTATGTATCAAGAAATGTCCCCACCTGCTGGTAAAAATATTGAACTTCAGACAGACACCCCAGAGCCTCTAAATGAAAACAAGAAACACAGAGACATTGTGCTCCATGCCATGGAAGTGCTCTCATTCAATGTTAACAAACTCTTTAAATGACAGCTTTTTTCTAGGCTAAAAGTAGAAAAGGCTACTTATCAAAACAGTAAATACATGCAACATAAGGGGTCCAAGTGGATAAATGCTGACCTGGCCAGAGGCCTGTGGCCCAGTTCAACCAGTAGTTTTGTTTATTATACAAAATAACTGCAGCCTAAAATGATGCACCTCTTTTCCTAGATGTGTTGGTGTGGAGCAATGATCGAGTCATTCGCTGGATCCAAGCAATTGGACTTCGAGAATATGCAAATAATATTCTTGAGAGTGGTGTGCATGGCTCACTTATAGCCCTGGATGAGAACTTTGACTACAGCAGCTTAGCTTTATTACTACAGATCCCAACACAGAACACCCAGGCAAGCCCTTTGTGCTGTAGTTGCAGTGTCCTATTTATATCACAACAAACTAAACTTTTAGGGGGGAAAAAGTTGGTTGTGTATTCATGATTCGAGAGTTAGCTCAACCTTTGAAATATGTCACTGGGGCTTTCATTTCAAGCTACTGAATTTCTAGCCAAAACAAAATCATAAAACTAAGCAGGAAGGGATTTAGAGGTTATGTGGTCCAACCTCCCAGGACCCTGAATGTCAGTTTCCCCCAAACAATATCCCTGCCAGATGGCCTTCAGTCTCTGTCTCTCTGAGAAGCAGTCGTTTCTATTTACATATCTTAATTATACAGACACTTAGCATTGAGGATGCCATTGATTCCCAAATCTGGATAATTATTTGAATCATCGGAGTTACATAAAAATTTCAAATAAAACCTGCAACCTATAGCACAGGCCTAAGAAATCAGGGAGCAAGAGATAGGGCACAAGAATCTTAATTATCTCAAGTTTCACCAAATGGTAACCAGGTTTGAGAACGACCTGCATAGGCTTGTTCAAAATCTGGCAGTCTAACTTCACTCTTCATTTTGTTTTTATGTATTTCAAATTTTGTAGAAAATATCCCACTTGAATGAAATAGCGAAGTGAGGTCAGAGCCCCGAGACCTCAGACATTTAGGTGAGGCCATTTCTCTCCTGCTCACAGATGAAAGAAAGTTTCCCTACCTTTTGTTTATGGGTTAAATTTACAATGGCTTGTAGATAGGGAGGACTGAAAGCTTAAGCCACCATAAATAAACAGGGTTTGTAATACTTTCTCAGATAAATATAATCTCTCTCTCTCTCTTTTTTTAAATAACATGTGACTTCAGTGTTGGTAACTGTTATTTGATGTCAACAGGCCAGGCAGATTCTTGAAAGGGAGTACAATAACCTCCTAGCTCTGGGAACCGAGCGGCGCCTGGATGAAGTAAGTCCTTGTCTATCAATCAAAAGGATCTTGAGAGTACAAGTAAAACAGCTCTCAAGGAACAGTACCCAAAAATTAATCAGATGCTCGCTCCATGGATAACATCTAGAATTTTCCCCAGTATTGTTCCTCAATATTACATTTTATTACTCATTTTATTTTTGAAAGAACTTGTGAATTCATAAATATTATCATATCAGCAGTTGGAAACACTAAGATATAATTCAAAACAAGACTGTTTTCCATGAGCTGTGAATGCCAAATAATGTTAAACAACATTTTTTTTTAATTATAAGTAGTGATAACACTAATCCTAATAAATTCAGCTTTTTAAAAAGAAATGTGCTTATTTCTTAAATATCAGTACATCTTCACAGGAAATTTTTGGATATTAAAATGAAGAGAAAACTTGCTTCCACTATATAAAAAGCTTTTCATTATTTTAGATAGCAATATAGCGTTTTCCGTAAAAACATATGAATAACATTTTACCGGTTGTAGAATTTGAGGCTCTACTGAGTGTAATAATCCCTGTACATCATATATGCATGTCTAAATGATTTGAAAAATAATAAGCATGTAAGTAACCTCCTAAGATGAAGAAATACAGGGACATTAGCAAACCCTACATTGGTAGACACTGTGCACTTCACAGTCCTGAGTTTTTACAGGGCCTTTTGGGAAACAGTGAAAAGGAAACCTGAGCATGAAGAGATACCTAATTTTGTGTTGCAAACTGCAGCTGTGTCTTGGCTATAAAGAAAAGCTGATTAAAATAGTTTTGTGAATGAACCCAGGAAATCCTAAAGTGAGGCAATAATTCCACGTTCATATGCGCAGGGCCAGTGATCTTGGCATTGTAAAACCCAAGCTGCCTTTGTGGAGAAGGTTATAGGCAGATCAACTCTACAGTACGGGCCTCGGCTAACTCCTTATAAATTCATACTCCTGTCCAATCAGGATAGTGAGTAATATTTTTAAAAACCAGTTAATATTTAACTCATTTAAATTTTATAAGTTGTTTCTTGCCCGGCCAGGCGTGGCTCAGTGGTTGAGCATCGACCTAGGATCCAGGCAATC